GGAGGCAGAGGCAGGGAGACCATGTGTGCATGCTGGGACATGACTCCACGTGTGCATGCTGGGGCATGACTCCACGTGTGCATGTTGGGACATGACTCCACGTGTGCATGCTGGGGCATGACTCCACGTGTGCATGCTGGGGCATGACTCCACGTGTGCATGCTGGGGCATGACTCCACGTGTGCATGCTGGGGCATGAATCCACGTGTGCATGCTGGGACATGACTCCACGTGTGCATGCTGGGGCATGAATCCACGTGTGCATGCTGGGGCATGAATCCACGTGTGCATGCTGGGACATGACTCCACGTGTGCATGCTGGGGCATGAATCCACGTGTGCATGCATGGAGGGATCTATCTTCAGGTGTGCTTGCAGAGACATGTCTGCATGTGCTTTTGAGGCGCCTCAAAAGTTGTATCCGGGTGTGCTTGCAGGGGCGTGTGTGCATGTATCACAAGTACATTATGTGGGCCATTGCACTTCACTGTTTTGTCTGGTGTTTCGCGGCACCTATTCCTTGCATGATTGACTCTCGATGTGACCTCATTAGTCGACATTGCCCACCGTGCATGTGGTATCCCTTGTCTCACAGACCCTCTTGTGTCTTACCTCCCCTCTTTGTCAATGCTTCTGGTGCTCCTGCCTGGGTTTCACCACGCCTTTGCTTACCTCCTAGGGAACGCTGTCAAGTTCACGGCACAAGGCCACATGATGGTGCGGGTGTTCTTGGTGCCGCAAGGGGCGAGCATGCAAGACACCCTTCAATTGCCCTGTCTCACGATGGCTTTAAGTACATTTGTCTGATGCATTCTGTGCTCCAGAGAACGCTGTCAGGTTCACGGCACAAGGCCACGTGACGGTGCGAGTGTCGTTGGTGCCGCAAGGGACAAGCTTGCAACACACCCTTCAATGCCAGGGTAAGGGTGTGTGTGAGCATGTGGACGCCCCTTTGGTGCTTATTCATGATCTTTAGCGTCTCACTCCTTGACCTCTCGTCTCACTCCTTGACCTCTCGTCTCACTCCTTGACCTCTCGTCTCACTCCTTGACCTCTCGTCTCACTCCTTGACCTCTCGTCTCACTCCTTGACCTCTCGTCACACTCCTTGATCTCTCTCCCTTTCTTTTCTGCCATCGTAACCCCCTTCCCTCCCTTTCTCCCTTTCATTCCAGGCCTTTCCACGACCACCCCACACACACCCACTTCAACGCTTGCCACCTGGGCTTGCGCTTGGGGCTGGAAGCAGGAGACAGCAAGCAGCGCAGCAAGCAGCGCAGCTGTCAACACACCGGATGAGTCTGAGACCGCCCATGACAGGAGAGTCCGCAAGAGGCACGATGGGAGGCCCAAGAGGCGGCGCGATGGTCAGCACAATGGGAACGGAAGACCGTGCCCGTGGTCTTGTCCGGGCCCGTGCCCGTGTGTGCTCGTGCTGTCGTGCCAGGACTCAGGCTGTGGCTTCCCGGCGTCTCTGCACAGAGCGGATGGCAGTGGAGGGGCTTCGTACTTCTCCCTTGTGGTGAGGAACGGCCTGATTCTGACAAGCCTTTGAGGGGTGTGGGGGTTTCCTTTGCTTCCCCGCGTCTCTCCACGGAGCGGGTGGCAGCAGAGGGGCTTTGTACTTCTCCCTTGTGCTGTCGTGTTAAGACTCGGGTTGCGGCCTCCCAGCGTCTCTCCACACGGCGGATGGTGGGGAGGGGCTTTGTACTTCTCACTTGTGGTGAGATCCTGTCGAAGTTTGTCATGCCGTTGAGGGGGTCGCCCTCCCTCTCTCTCCTCTTCTCACATTAACCAGCCCATCCCCCCACCTCCTCCCCCCCCACTCTAGGAGTCGCGGGAGCAAAGGGAGGCGAGGAGTGGGTCAGGCACAGCACTTGGGCTGGTGCTGGTGCAGCACATGGTGAGTCGTGGTGCTGTGTTGGTTGGTGAATCAGCGTGTAGACTAAGCGGGTGAGGTGTCTAGACCTTTCAGCTGGTGCAGCTCCAGCAGCTTCAGCGGCTGCTTCAGATGGGTGATCGGAAGGACGAATCGGATGGTGATGTGAAGTCACTGGTTAGTGTGAGGTGTCTAGACCTTTCAACTGGTGCAGCTGCAGCAGCTTCAGCAGATGGTGAATGGTTAGTGGTGAATGGTTAGTGGCGAATGGTGGTAAGTGGTACTTAACTTTTGGTCGAGTACCCAACTATGGGTCAAATACCTAACTATAGATCCGGTACATAATTTCAGGTCTGGTACCTAACTACAGCCTATAGGTCTGGTACTTATCGTCTAATCTAGTATTCCGAATCCAATCTAGGATGCACCCTCTCATCGCCCCCTCCCCAATTCCCCCTCCTCTGCAGGTGACTCTAATGAAGGGGGAATTGGCCTTCGACTCACGGCCGGGGTGTGGCAGCACAGTTGCTTTCTGTGTGCCTGTGACTACTCCCTTCATACAAGAACACTGCTTAGAAGAAACCTACCTGGAGGATCAGAACGTGCTGCAGGAGCAGAGTCAACAGCAGCAATGGCAGGGGGAGGTGGCATGGCATCGTGAGACCCAAGAGAGAGGGTCAAGAGAGTTTCCAGGTGCTGCCAGCAGTTGCCACGAGCAGCAGACAGGTTCAGGAGATTCTTCAGGGGCTATCAACAGAATGCCGTTGCAGCAGCACAGCGTTCAGGTGGTTCAACGTAACCCGAACCAGCAGCAGCAGCAGCAGCAGTGGTTGCCTCTGGTGCAGTCGTGTGAAGGGTCGTTTGTGGTGCATGGCTCAGGCGAGGTGCTGATGCAAGACTCGAGAGCAATCCAGAGAGGCCGGAGCAAGAGCGAGAGAGTGGATGCGAGTGAGAGAGTGAGTGTGAGTGTGGGTGCGAGTTATCCGCGGGCCATATCTGTGCCTCCATCGAGCGCTGCTGCCGCAGGCACGCATGCAGCAGCGGCTGCTGCACAGACTCGCGCGTGTCTCACTGGGCTGCGCATCCTGGTGGTGGACGACACGCCGATCAACCTCATGGTGGCCCGCCGCACTCTCACCCGCTGGGGCGCTGCTGTGGCTACGGCGAAGAGCGGGGCGGAGGCTGTTGAGATGGTTGGTACAGGCATGCAGGGAATGGAAGGGGAGGAGGCGGTTGAGTCGGTTGTTGCTGACATGGGGGAAGCAAGAGGGCAGGAGGCGGTTGGGGAGGAGGCGGTGGAGATGGCTGGTGAGGGCATCGAGGAGAGGAGAGTGGAGGATGTGTGTGCGTCATTGCGGCATGGTTACGACTTGGTTCTCATGGACCTGCAGATGCCTGGCATGGATGGGTGAGTGGATGGATGGGTTGGGCATAGGGGGGACCTCATGGTGTAATGTTGCTGCATGCATGCATGGGGCCACCCCATGGCGGCATGGCATTGACTTGGTTCTAATGGACCTGCAAATGCCTGGCATGGATGGGTGAGTCATATTCTTCAGTTTTCCAGAGGAGCAGCAGTGTTGGCTAAGGTTTAGCAAGAATATTGCTCTTTTCTTCATTGCTAAACGTTTGCCGGCATTGTTCCACCTCTGGAAGACATGGATAGTGAGCTCATGGCTGAGGGAGGCATGCGCAGCAATAAATGGCAATTGATGAGCAAGTCAATGGACGGGATAGGATGCCCCATTGTACCAATTTGAGCGCCCCAGTTCCCTTTTCATGCATGCATGCATAGTGTGAAGGGCTTGGTTGGTGCAAACCCGTTTCAGGCTACCTCAATCAATCCCTCTTTCAGGACCTCAACCACCGGTAATGCTTGAGTGCCACTCAACATTACTGTCCATGTGTGCACGCCTCTCTCTCTTCCCCCGGCAGCTTCACAGCAGCAGCGGCCATTCGAGCCCACGAGAGGAGACTGCAGTTCGAAGCCACTCGAAGTAGGCAGCAGCAGAGGCAGCAAGCGGCACTTGAAGCAGACCCTCAAGGGAGGGACTGGAAGCGGCCCGCAGGTGTTGACTGGCAGCGGCCTGACTGGGGAGAAGATCGGCAAGCACCTGCTGCTGACTGGCAACCACCGGCTGCTGAGAATGACTGGCCAGCCCTTCCACGTGTGCCCATAGTGGCTCTGACAGCAGACGTGGATTGCGGAGTGGTGCAGAGGTGTGCAGAGGGGGGGTTTGACGGTGTGCTTCAGAAGCCAGTGGACGCCCACCTGCTGGCGGCGCACTTGAGCCAGGCACAGCTCCAGCTGTCACTGCGGCGGGTTGTGTCGCACCCGACTGTCACACAAAGAAACTGAGAGATGATACTGACACTACTACTGACTGAGGCTTAAACCGGTACGACTGATTCGACAGTCGCTGCTGCGGATGGCGTCGCCCCCGGCTGTCACACGAAGAGCTGACAGATTTCACGGACACTACTACCGTCAACACAATACTTCTGGTGTATTTTGAGGCGACTCAAAATACACAATACTTCTGACTCAGCAGTTGCTGCTCTGTGGGTGGCGTTGCAGCAGTAGCCAACTGCAACTCAAACAACTGAGGGGCACTTGTACTGAGTCAGCAGTCGCTGAGAAAATTACAGCCTATGCAATTTCTGGCAACGAATTTCGGACAATTGTTGGCTAGCGGCGGTAGCAATGCTGTAGCAAATTCCGAATACACGACCCAGGGAGGGTCTTATTGTCAGAAGGCTAGCTTAGCTAGGAAGCTAGAAAAGGCATGAGGTTTAGCTAGGAGGAGCTATGGAGTGGCGTGAGGTCTAGGAAGGAGAAAAGTTGAGGGAAAAGAGAGTTGGAATAGAAAGAGAGAGGCATACGAGGAGATTGTACTCTCTACAGTAAAGTTCGGTAACCTACCAAGCCTACCAATTATATAACTCAATACACAATTTAACCCACCCCCTAGGCTTGGTAGTCACAAGCCCACACACACCCCCACACCCCCTAACCTAGCACCCCCATTCCAGCCACAGTGACAGCGACACTAGCTCGGTCGACCCCTCGGCGCGTGAAGCGGCGACGTCGACCGCATGGACTGCGGCGGCAACGGCGGCAGTGTCGACAGCGGCGGCGGCAGCGTCGTGCGGCTGCATGGCCCCGACGCAAGCGGCGACAGCGGCGACGGCGGCGGCTTCGACAACAGCGGCGGCGCCCGCACCTCTTGGTGACGTGGCAAGGCCCCGCGACGGTGGGACGGCCGGCGGGAGTCAGCCGTCGTCTGCGAAAAGGAAGAGGACACAGGGGAAGGAGGGGGGGGGGGGGGGGGGGGGGGAGGGGGCGCCGCAGGCTGGCATGCGGGCGGCCGGTCTAGCGGCGCCACAGGCGTCGTGCGGCCGGCTGCAGCCCGACGGCGCCGTCACAGAGCGGCGTCGACGCCGCGGCAGGACGTCGACGCTGCGACGGCAGCACGACGGCCCGACACCACGTTAGCGCGTCGAGACGGCCGCGGCACGACGCGGCCAGCGGCATCACGACGCCGCCACTGCAGCAAGACGCGGCCGCGATGGCCGCGCGAGCGAACGAGGGTGAGGAGTACGCGGCGGAAGCGTGAGGAGGCGGTCCAGCAGGGAGGACCTCCTGCTCTGATACCATGTTAGAATGCTAGCTTAGCTAGGAAGCTAGGAAAGGCATGAGGTTTAGCAAGGAGGAGCCATGGAGTGGCGTGAGGTTTAGGAAGGAGAAAAGTTGAGGAGAGAAAAGAGAGTTGGAATAGAAAGAGAGAGGCATACAAGGAGGGGATTGTACCCTCTACAGTAAAGTTTGGTAACCTACCAAGCATAGCAATTATATAACTCAATATATAGTTTAGCACTTATATCATACCTAAATAAAATCCATGTCTTATAAACAGAGTACCTGTTTATAAGAAAACACCCGGATAATAGACCCTAGGGTCTTGTATTCGCCCGGGTCTTCTATCCGGGCGTTTACGGTAGTCGGCACCCGCTGCTGCGGGTGGCATTGCAACCGACTGACACACAAAGAGCTGACAAAGTCTACTGACACTACTTCTGCCCGAAACTCAAAGCAAGAGACGATACTGTAAAACATATCTTTGTATGTTTAGTAGACTAAATAGGGTCATACTATAGAGAGTACAACACCCTAGCCTATATACCCCTGTATCCATCTTTTCTAGTCATTCTTTCTCTTGTTAATAGATACTACTGAGTCGATAGTCACTGCTGCAGGTGGCGCCTCACCTGACTGTCACACAAAGAAGTGACAGGTTGTAGTGACACTACTGCTGACTGAAACTCCAAGGGAGGGACAGTTCTTCCCAGTCGGCAGTCGATGCTGCGGGTGGCGTCGCAACGGACTGTAAGACAAACAACTGAGGGACACCGGCAGTGGTGTGTGAGAGTAAGGGGGTGATTGGGGCAGTGACTAGTCGCCCAATTCACGCTCTCTCACGACTGAGAGACGACCAAGCCAGTTGCGCACTGAACCGAACCGAAAAGGACTCAGATGCTGAGCTGAGACGGGCTGAGATACTCAACTAAGAAGGACTGAGATATGACTGGTAGGGTAATGAGGGTTCTCTCTTTGGGGGCCTCAAAAATGAGATACAGCTGGCAGGGTGACGATATGGTGCTGGCGAAGCCAGGGGATGCCTGCCAGCTGGCGGCTTTGTCTCACTCTAGCCAGTCAGAGTGCCAGGGATCGCTCACTTGGGTCACTTCCCAGCCTGACCACCATGACTCAAAGAGCTGGCTGCGCTACTGACTGGCCAGTGGCCAGGAGATTGTACCACTGACTGGTCTGAAAGGGGTTGGTGGCAGCTTGTTGCCCAGCGCTGTTCCAGCTATCACTCACTTGGGTTGCTTCCCAGCCTTACTGTAAATCAATGCACTGGCTCTAGATGAGCTCTTGGGAGGTTCCACTGTTAACTTAGGAGGCTAGGAGGTAGGAAAGGCTGCCATGAAAGTGGCGGTGGGGTTTAGCTAGGAGGTAGGAAAGTGTCGAGAGAAAAGAGGGACAACTAGAAGTGAGAGAGGCATACAAGGAGGGGGGTTGTACCCTCTACAGAAAGGTTCAATAACCTACCAAGCCTACCAATTATATAATACGATATATAATTTAACATCCACCATTGGCTGGTTTGAGGGGATGAGACTGTTAAGATACTAGAATAGCTAGGACGCCATGAAAGGCAAGAGGGTTTAGGCTAGGAGACCAAAAGATACGAGAAGAAAGAGAGTGAGACTAGGAAGAAAGAGGGATACAAGGAGGGGATTGTACTCTCTACAGTAGGTTTCACTAATATCTACCAAGCCTATAATTATATATAACATGTCTAATTTAACACACCCCCTAGGCTTGGTAGTAGGACACCACACACACAAGACACTAAGCCACACACACCCCCTAAATCTAGCACCCCTATACTCAGCAGCAACGACGGCTATGTCAAGTTATACATATATTCATATGTAGAGATAACAGGCTAGCTAGAGTTGTGCTCTTAGAGAGTACATCACAACCCCATGTATCTCCTGTACTCTCATCTTTCTAATTATTCTAGTATCTTAATATGGTATCAGAGCAAGTAGGTCCACCCGCCCTCTTTCGCCTCGCGCCCTAGCCTACCGTGCCCCACTATCCCCTAGCGTGCCCGCCAGCCCTAGCGCGCTCGCCAGCCCCCAGCACGCTCGCCAGCGCCTAGCGCGCCCGCTGACCCCTTACGCGCCTAGCAGGCCCCTCGCGCCAGTCGGCCCCTCATGCTAGTTGGCCCCTCTCGCCTAACAGGCACCTCTCGCCTAGTCGGCCCCTTACGCGTTTAGACGGCCCCTCGCGCCCGGTCGACCCCTCTCGCGCCAGTCGACCCCTCTCACCTAGCCGGCCCCTCATGCCCAGTCGGCCCCTCGCGAGCCTAGTCGGCCCCTCTCGCACCTGGTCGGCCCCTCTCGCGCCTATTCGGCCCCTCCTACGCACGGCCGGCCCCCCACATCTCGTCGGCCCCTCCTGCACCGGCATGGCCCCTCGTGCGGCTCGGCCTCTGCCCGGCTCCTCTCGTGCTCCGCCCGACCCCTCGTGCCCCCGCCAGCCCCTCCTGTACCTGCCGGTTCATGAAGCCCCGCCGACCTGCTGCGCGCCTTGGGCCTTGTGCGCTTCGCCCGGCCTTCCTGCTGGAGCTTCGAGACGCTGTGCCACTGAGTACCCGTGCCGAGTTGCTGTGGAGCTGTGCCGTTGAGGCTGCACGATGGCGGACTCCGTACTCGGCCTGGACGCCGAGCGCAACGCAATCGACTTCGCCGCCTGGCTCGTTGATCTCCGCCATCACCTCACAGGTCAACGCCAGGATGGGCATTCCATGGCCATGGATGTTGATGGCCTACTGCCCCGCCCCCTCTCGCATGCTCCCCTCCCTGCTGACCCCACCTCTACCGAGCGTGAGGCTTTCCCTACTGCAGCGCTCGCTTGCATTGTCCGGGATTCCCGCGATGTTATAGTGCAGCTTGCTATTAGTCATGCTCTTCCCTTGTCTGAGCGTCCGCGTTTCACTACTGTCACAAACGCCAAAGATTTCATCGATGTCGTAGTTGCCCGCTATTCCACACCCACCTCTGCCTCTGCAGGCCGCCATATCCTTCCTATGATGTTTCCCGATCTAGCCGCTTTTCCCATCGTCACTGACCTCACCACTCACCTCTGTACACTAGAGACTCGCTACCGCACTGCTAGCACTGCCGCCCAGCTCACAGCTCTCTCCCCACCGTTCTGCATCACCCTGTACCTTATCACCATGCGCCTGCCTGACCGCTTAACCAGTGCCCGCGACCACTTTCTTGGCCAGCACCCTGGAGACCTCACCCTGACCGCCTTTGTCGCAGCCCTATCCGAGATCGAGACTCGCCAGCGCACTATCGCTCAGTCAAGCGGTGTTGCGGCAGTCGCTATCTTTCAGGGTTGTGCCCCCTCCCAGTGCACGTACGCTGACGTTTTTGCTGCGGTCGCTACTGCGATCTCTCCTACGGAGATCGCTGCTGCGGCCTTCTCGCAGCAGCGCCAGCGCCGGGGCCATCACGGCCCCAAGGGAGGGCGTGGTGGTGGTGCTAGTGGTAGTAGTGGTGGTGGCGGTGACAGTGGTTCTGACGAGGGGGTTGTGGCAGGTGTATCGGAGCAGCAGCAGCCGCAGCCGTAGTAGGCGCAGCCGCAGCAGTCGTGGGCCAGCCTTTTGCCAGGGTGGCCGGGCGCCTCCGGAGGTGGTGGCCACGGTGGCGGCCCTCGCAACTCGACGTCTTCTGGCAGTTTCGCTGCTGTGACCTGCCAGTACTAGCTCCAGACCGGGCCCCTCCGCGGCAGTGTGTGCCGCAGCCCGCACCCGACCGCCCGCTGCTTCCACCGCCTCGATAACCTCTATCGTCGCCGCTTTGGCCCGGCCCCGGACCTCCCTGTTTGGTGCATTCTGTTGCGCCATGGTGTGCCTATCTTTGAGTTAGATATGGATCAAATTAGTTCTGTCTTGCATGCTTTGTATACTAACGCTTCTAGTGTGTTCGGATCTTATTACCATGTGTTCTCTAGCTTAGGCGTAGCACCTGTGTGTAGTTCCGACTCCTCTGCTGCGTCAGGCGTAGGACCTTCTACTTTGTCTAGCCTAGGCTCCACACTAGCTCCTCCTTCATCTACGGCTACTACTTCGCTGTCCTTCACTCTGGACTCTGGTGCATCGGCCTGCTTCTTCCGCGAACGCGCCACACTCATGCCGCTTACCTCGCCTACCACTCTCGCTCTTGCTGACCCTTCGTCTGGTCCTGTCGTAGCTCGCAGCTACACTACCCTTCCCTGTCCAGCGGTCCCCTCGGGTTCTCTTACAGCCCTGCACATCCCCTCATTCTCTAGGAACCTAGTTG